ATCTCAATTTGCACCCTCAAATATAAAAATTTGTATCAATGTACACCTAAAACTAAATTGATAAATTATACCTATATTCCCTCATATTTGTCACTTAATCATTTGGACCCTTTCATATTTAAAATATTACTCTTACATCTCATGACGTTTGTGCAAGTGCAATACGTAACCCATTTTGGTTGATATATGTTAATATAATTGTTAAAAAATATGATTTTATCCTAATAAAAAATTATAATTTTATATTACCTTTTTTTTCGTGGGTCCGATATATTCTAAAGTTCAGAATCAAGTTTATCATTTGAATGTCTAATAGAATGTAGATATTTATATAATATTTTTTATATCAATGCAATATATTACTTAATGTGCAATCTTTTATTCTATTAGACATTCAAATGGTAAGTCTTATTTTGAATTTTAGAATATATTAGACATATAAAATAAAAGTTAATATGAAATTATAATTTTTTTATTATGATAAAATCATATTTTTTAACTGTTATATTAACATATATTAATAAAAAGGGATTACGTGTTACACGTGCACAAACGTCATGAGATGTAGGAGTAATATTCTAAATGTGAAGGAGTTCNTATACTTGTCACTTAATCATTTGGACCCCTTCATATTTAAAATATTACTCCTACATCTCATGACGTTTGTGCAAGTGCAATACGTAACCCATTTTCGTTGATATATGTTAATATAACTGTTAAAAAATATGATTTTATCCTAATAAAAAATTATAATTTTATATTACCTTTTTTTTCGTGGGTCCGATATATTCTAAAGTTCAGAATCAAGTTTACCATTTGAATGTCTAATAGAATGTAGATATTTATATAATATTTTTTATATCAATGCAATATATTACTTAATGTGCAATCTTTTATTCTATTAGACATTCAAATGGTAAGTCTTATTTTGAATTTTAGAATATATTAGACATATAAAATAAAAGTTAATATGAAATTATAATTTTTTTATTATGATAAAATCATATTTTTTAACTGTTATATTAACATATATTAATAAAAAGGGATTACGTGTTACACGTGCACAAACGTCATGAGATGTAGGAGTAATATTCTAAATGTGAAGGAGTTCAAATGATTAAGTGACAAGCACGAGAGGATCTAGGTATAATTAATCAATTTAGTTTTTAAGTCCACATTGATACAAATTTCTATTTTTGAGAGTGCAAATTGAGATTTTTTATCTTTGGGGGTGCACATTGATACAAATTTCTATATTTGAAAGTGTAAATTAAAATTTTTGATCTTTAGGGGTGCACATTGATACAAATTTCTATTTTTGAAGGTGTAGATTGAGATTTTTGATCTTTGAGGATACAAATTTAGATTCGAACGATCTTTCAAGGTATAATTTGTAATTAACCCTTATTTTTATTTTACCCAAAAATAAAAATAAAAATACAAAACACTAAATAAAAACGTGAAACAAACAATCCCTTGGTGTCCCTAAATTTTCGAACCAGTAATGCTATGTGCCAAAAAAAAAAAGTACACTAAAACTTGTATCAAATCATTTGCAACCATTGGATTAGTGGATCTCATAACTGAATTACCCATGAACAATCTTAAAAAAAAATATATAAACAAACGAAAATATACAATATATTAATAAGATTACAACTTGTAAGAAAAACATTTATAACAATTTATTATTATTATTTTTTTGCATTATTTTTCAATGGATTTTCAATATTATTATAGGTTTGAGGAAGTTAATTTACCATTTGGAATAAAATTGAACAAAAAAAAAAAGCATTTTTTTTGAAAAAAAATTGCTACTTAAAAAACTACTTGAAAATGTTCAAATAAATTTACCTACCTAGTCCTAAATGTCCTTTTTTTTTATTATAGTAACAAGGCTAAATCAAAACAAAGGAAAAAAAAAATTAAATTCCATCATTTACATTTTTCATGGAATAGGTATGGTTACAGCTTATACATTTCCCTACGTGAATACAATTTGTTTTGGTATTNCAGGAGTAATATTCTAAATGTGAAGGAGTTCAAATGATTAAGTGACAAGCACGAGGGGATCTAGATATAATTTATCAATTTAGTTTTAAGTCCACATTGATACAAATTTCTATTTTTGAGAGTGCAAATTGAGATTTTTTATCTTTGGGGGTGCACATTGATACAAATTTCTATCTTTGAAAGTGTAAATTAAAATTTTTGATCTTTAGGGGTGCACATTGATACAAATTTCTATCTTTGAAGGTGCAGATTGAGATTTTTGATTTTGAGGGTACAAATTGAGATTCGAACGATCTTTCAAGGTATAATTTGTAATTAACCCTTATTTTTATTTTACCCAAAAATAAAAATAAAAATACAAAACACTAAATAAAAACGTGAAACAAACAATCCCTTGGTGTCCCTAAATTTTCGAACCAGTAATGCTATGTGCCAAAAAAAATAAGTACACTAAAACTTGTATCAAATCATTTGCAACCATTGGATTAGTGGATCTCATAACTGAATTACCCATGAACAATCTTAAAAAAAAAAATATAAACAAACGAAAATATACAATATATTAATAAGATTACAACTTGTAAGAAAAACATTTATAACAATTTATTATTATTATTTTTTTGCATTATTTTTCAATGGATTTTCAATATTATTATAGGTTTGAGGAAGTTAATTTACCATTTGGAATAAAATTGAACAAAAAAAAAAGGGCATTTTTTTTTGAAAAAAAATTGCTACTTAAAAAACTACTTGAAAATGTTCAAATAAATTTACCTACCCTAGTCCTAAATGTCCTTTTTTTTTATTATAGTAACAAGGCTAAATCAAAACAAAGGAAAAAAAAAAATTAAATTCCATCATTTACATTTTTCATGGCATAGGTATGGTTACAGCTTATACATTTCCCTACGTGAATACAATTTGTTTTGGTATTAATGTATTATTCAAAAATTTAATAATTAATTTTTTATTATCAACACACGCCTTTCTACCTAGACTTTTCATTAAAAGCTTCAAGAAAAGGTAAATCAGAAAGGTTTCTGTTCATTAATTTGGTTTTGAAATTTGTCTATCTTTATTATAAAAAATCTTTACTGTAATTATAGCACCACTCAAATAGTGCTTTGACATTGATAGTGTAAAATAAAGGTATGAGTGTAGGAGTATCATAAAATGATTCAAATACCGTAAAAAAGACTATGTTCGTATGTGAGTGGCCGATTCTGGGTGCAAAAGGAAATGACACAGACATTCACTGATTCATCAAATTAAAAAACTTGACTAGTCTATTCTAATTGAGTCTTTTACTCTCTAATTTTTATTGTTCGGAGAAGAAAGTTATTAAAATGAGATTTCACATATATTTATTTAAAGTATATCCTTCTATTTATACAAGAATTAACTTTTGTCCTTATCTCAAATAATGTAATCCCCTCAATTAGTTAGAATCACAAGAAAAATATCTCTTAGTTAGAATATTTATGACAATGCTCTAAAAAGGCCTAAACTTTTGAGATTATNTGTATGTGAGTAGTCGATTCTGGGTGCAAAAGGAAATGACACAGACATTCACTGATTCATCAAATTAAAAAACTTGACTAGTCTACTCTAATTGAGTCTTTTACTCTCTAATTTTTATTGTTTGGAGAAGAAAGTTATTAAAATGAGATTTCACATATATTTATTTAAAGTATATCCTTCTATTTATACAAGAATTAACTTTTGTCCTTATCTCAAATAATGTAATCCCCTCAATTAGTTAGAATCACAAGAAAAATATCTCTTAGTTAGAATATTTATGACAATGCTCTAAAAAGGCCTAAACTTTTGAGATCATTTGATGAGTTAGTTGAATAATACTCGGCGGTATATAAGACTCTCCTTTTTGGAAGAGCTTGTTGAAGGTATAGAAGTTAGCTCGGGTGATTTTTATGTACAAGCCATATTAGATGATACGAAGCTTCGATTATGCCATCAAATGAGTCATGCTGCATATTGGTTGCTTTGGCATGGGTCTTTGAGGTCATACTGTTTGAGGTTGAGTTACGGCAAGTAAATAATGGACNCAAGAAAAATATCTCTTAGTTAGAATATTTATGACAATGCTCTAAAAAGGCCTAAACTTTTGAGATTATTTGATGAGCTAGTTGAATAATACTCAGCGGTATATAAGACTGTCCTTTTTGGAAGAGCTTGTTGAAGGTATAGAAGTTAGCTCGGGTGATTTTTATGTACAAGCCATATTAGATGATACGAAGCTTCGATTATGCCATCAAATGAGTCATGCTGCATATTGGTTGCTTTGGCATGGGTCTTTGAGGTCATGCTGTTTGAGGTTGAGTTACGGCAAGTAAATAATGGACTGCTGATTATGATATCATCACACATTTTTTTAAAAAAATTTCTCAAACGGTGCGTGGTTGGCCCTAATATATCAGGGGTAAATGTATCATTTAAGTACTCTTGAGGGGTGGTTCTTGAAATTTTGAAGCAAACATAATTCACTAATTCGGCTCCTTCTTCGTGTTTGAAAACTGATTAAAACCCTCCATCAGGGTTTATTATACTACTCGAAGAAGGTGAAATTTTAGAGAGAGATCCGAATCTTCAGAACGCATATCTACCGAAAGAGGTTTGTTCACTCCTCAAATCTAGTTCGAATGAAAGTTTTTAACTACCTATGAACGTGTTTGCGTATATAATCTGTAAATTATTGCATCGTTTCGGTTAAATTCGAGCCTTTTGGTTTGGAATAATTACTACTATGTGTTTGCTTCATTTTTTGCTAAAACTCTGTTTTTCAGAATTTCAATATGATTCGAATTGTGTAATGCTTTTTTTGTTGATCCGGTGTTTTGACTTCAGGAACGCACTGAAAATCGACGCAATTGAATGTCTTATATGTTATTATAGTTGTCAATTCTTATGTTAAATTTTTTTTTTTATTGTTTAATGTAAAGATAACGGTTGTTTACTGTATAGATAGGATGAGGATTGCGGTTGAAGGGTGTATGCATGGAGAACTGGACAATGTGTACTCAACTCTTTTGTATTTGCAAGAACGGGAGAACACAAAAATCGACCTTCTCATCTGTTGTGGCGACTTTCAGGTACCCATTTGTCCACGTGGTTGATCTGGAATTTTACGGTGGCGTTGAGTTTCCAAAAGGTTTGCAATGGATTGATTTCGATTTTTAAGTATTCTTATCAATTAGATCACGTTTTAAGTCTGTTTTAAGTACCCCATATATAAAAATACTGATAACTGATTTGACTGTGAGTTAAAAAATTATNGTCTGTTGTGGCGACTTTCAGGTACCCATTTGTCCACGTGGTTGATCTGGAATTTTAAGGTGGCATTGAGTTTCCAAAAGGTTTGCAATGGATTGATTTCGATTTTTAAGTATTCTTATCAATTAGATCACGTTTTAAGTCTGTTTTAAGTACCCCATATATAAAAATACTGATAACTGATTTGACTGTGAGTTAAAAAATTATTGATGTATCAAATTAATGACTAATGAAACAAATGTTCGATATAGAAAGGTTGAGCAATGACCGAGACTTGAAATAATAGTAGCTGGAAATTGGGTTGGATTTATGCCTGAGAGATTAACAATAGAAGTTATATACTATGAAGATGAATGAAAAGTTATTGAGAGAGAAAAAAAAAGTTCTTTTATATATTTAAAGTTTATGATAGTAACTATTAATATAATATGGTGGATTTTAGAGAAGCAAATAATTGCACAAATTGCTATATTGATCTGATTGATGACATGTACATGTATGTATGAGGGAGAGATGTATAAGGGTATTGTGATCATCATAGTGAGAACAGTTTTAGTAGAATTACTAATTCCCAATTACTGTAAGCTTACATTCAGGACCAAATTTATATCCACGTCTTTTTTGCGTTGAGGTATGTTGTTTTCTAGAAGATAAAATATTGACCTATGGAACTAAAGTAGTAATTAACACAAAATTATAATTTTGAAGAGAAGTTTTACTCAAGAAGATTTAAAAGGGAGTTAAAATTGAACATAGGGGTATATAATTATAGCAAAAGCAGAAATCCAAACTGAGGAATAGTAGAGATCAAAGATAATACCCAAACGTGAACGGTTTTGGTATTTGGTATTGATTATACACAGAAAGGGCAAGACTGGAGGTAATGGTATGCATCGAATTAAAGCATAATGGAGTAAGTGTTGGACTACACCATCTGATCGATGCATATTTCATAACTGGAGTAACCAATAAGTTAAGAAGTAAAGTTCTACCATACAATCATAAGACCACGTGTGAATTGTATAAGTTGTTGGGTAGCTAAAAAAAATGCATTACAAAATCTATGTGTGATTAAACGATGGATTTTTTGAAAATGGATTGTAAAATGAGAAATGATAGAATTAGGAATACCAATATTTGTGGAATTNATGTGTGATTAAACGATGGATTTTTTGAAAAATGGATTGTAAAATGAGAAATGATAGAATTAGGAATACCAATATTTGTGGAATTGTATTAGTAGCACGAATGAGAGAAACATTAAGAGAAAATTGACTAAGGTAGTTTATACAAGGTCAAATAAGACCTATAACTAAAATGATATGATGCTTTTGCTTTGGCAAAACATATGACGAATGATGGAATATAATTCATGTAGTTGATCTGAAGTAGTTATTATTTGGATTTACTTGAATTGAGTTGAGATTTTGTCCATCTTATTACGGGTTTTTGGATTTTGATTACAATACTTACGTAGTGGACTAGTATTTCATAAATCATTATACTTATTACATCCACTACTATAGGAGGATCTAGAAGAGGAACCAGTTGAATTATTTGTAGGAATGGACACAGAGATTTATGCCATTGTCTGATGGAACTTTTGCTTTTATGTTTTATATGTTAAGGTTGTGAAATGGAACAGTATTCAATTATCTGATAATGATTATAGTCCCGTTAAAGCTTACTATCTCTAGGCAGAATCAATAATTGGGGTTTCGTTCTAGATCTCTTCGTCTTCCTTTGCATGATTTTTTCCTTGTTTGTTTTAAGCATGAGAAACCAAAATCCGAAACCCAATTATTTCTCCTTTTCCCCTATCAGGATTGTACTTCTTGTCATGCTAGACAAACACTGAATCTGTGTTCATTGAGATTTTTTATTTATTTCTTACTTTTTTAATTATATTTATAAAAGCTATGTCAAACTGAGTTAGTTTCTATGTGCAAGCAGGCTGTTAGAAATGAGAAAGATTTGGAAAGCCTAAATACACCACATAAACACCGAAGGATGAACACTTTTTGGAAGTATTACTCAGGAGAAAAAGTAGCTCCATTTCCAACTATATTCATTGGTGGGAATCATGAAGCTTCCAATTATCTATGGGAACTGTGAGTTGCTTGACTTTTTGATTTTCGTTCATAGTGATACTAAAGGAAAAGCACGGGCCCACTTTGTGCATTGGAAAAATTCAGCCCAAAGTTTAGGTCTTCCTCCACTCTACCCTGTCCAGTACTCTCGGTCACTGGGGAACCAGATTGGGGAATGACCTTTTTAGCAATAATAACTGGAAAGGTGCCTGGTTCCCATGTTGTTGTCAATGAGGTATTAAACATGAATGTTGAGTGATTCTACATATGTATTTTAGTGTTGCACACTTGACTTGTCAGTCCTGCTTTTGCAATGTAACTCAGTTTATTGAACTTGAAGCTGATATAAGTGCCCCCCCCCCCAAAAAAAAAATAATAATAAAATAAAATAAAACAAAACCCCCAACCAAAAAAAGAAAAAAGAAAAGAAGACAACCCAAAAAAAGNAAAAAAAAATAATAATAATAAAATAAAATAAAACAAAACCCCCAACCAAAAAAAGAAAAAGGAAAAAAAGACAACCCAAAAAAAGAAAATCTGATATCTGCCAACGCAAATGAGTAAATTATGCAGTTAAGTTTTTATCTTTGTGCTTAAGATCGTGTACATTTACATTACCATATACAATATACTGACCTGCACTAGCAATTTGAATTCACCTACAGTCAACTGTTTGGGGGTTTACTTGGAATTTCCAANGAGAACAGTTTTAGTAGAACTACTAATTCCCAATTACTGTAAGCTTACATTCAGGACCAAATTTAAATCCATGTCTTTTTTGCGTTGGGGTATGTTGTTTTCTAGAAGATATAATATTGACCTATGGAACTAAAGTAGTAATTAACACAAAATTACAATTTTGAAGAGAAGTTTTACTCAAGAAGATTTAAAAGGGAGTTAAAATTGAACATAGGGGTATATAATTTTAGCAAAAGCAGAAATCCAAACTGAGGAATAGTAGAGATCAAAGATAATACCCAAACGTGAACGGTTTTGGTATTTGGTATTGATTATACACAGAAAGGGCAAGACTGGAGGTAATGGTATGCATCGAATTAAAGCATAATGGAGTAAGTGTTGGACTACACCATCTGATCGATGCATATTTCATAACTGGAGTAACCAATAAGTTAAGAAGTAAAGTTCTACCATACAATCATAAGACCACGTGTGAATTGTATAAGTTGTTGGGTAGCTAAAAAAAATGCATTACAAAATCTATGTGTGATTAAACGATGGATTTTTTGAAAAATGGATTGTAAAATGAGAAATGATAGAATTAGGAATACCAATATTTGTGGAATTGTATTAGTAGCACGAATGAGAGAAACATTAAGAGAAAATTGACTAAGGTAGTTTATACAAGGTCAAATAAGACCTATAACTAAAATGATATGATGCTTTTGCTTTGGCAAAACATATGACGAATGATGGAATATAATTCATGTAGTTGATCTGAAGTAGTTATTATTTGGATTTACTTGAATTGAGTTGAGATTTTGTCCATCTTATTACGGGTTTTTGGATTTTGATTACAATACTTACGTAGTGGACTAGTATTTCATAAATCATTATACTTATTACATCCACTACTATAGGAGGATCTAGAAGAGGAACCAGTTGAATTATTTGTAGGAATGGACACAGAGATTTATGCCATTGTCTGATGGAACTTATGCTTTTATGTTTTATATGTTAAGGTTGTGAAATGGAACAGTATTCAATTATCTGATAATGATTATAGTCCCGTTAAAGCTTACTATCTCTAGGCAGAATCAATAATTGGGGTTTCGTTCTAGATCTCTTCGTCTTCCTTTGCATGATTTTTTCCTTGTTTGTTTTAAGCATGAGAAACCAAAATCCGAAACCCAATTATTTCTCCTTTTCCCCTATCAGGATTGTACTTCTTGTCATGCTAGACAAACACTGAATCTGTGTTCATTGAGATTTTTTATTTATTTCTTACTTTTTTAATTATATTTATAAAAGCTATGTCAAACTGAGTTAGTTTCTATGTGCAAGCAGGCTGTTAGAAATGAGAAAGATTTGGAAAGCCTAAATACACCACATAAACACCGAAGGATGAACACTTTTTGGAAGTATTACTCAGGAGAAAAAGTAGCTCCATTTCCAACTATATTCATTGGTGGGAATCATGAAGCTTCCAATTATCTATGGGAACTGTGAGTTGCTTGACTTTTTGATTTTCATTCATAGTGATACTAAAGGAAAAGCACGGGCCCACTTTGTGCATTGGAAAAATTCAGCCCAAAGTTTAGGTCTTCCTCCACTCTACCCTGTCCAGTACTCTCGGTCACTGGGGAACCAGATTGGGGAATGACCTTTTTAGCAATAATAACTGGAAAGGTGCCTGGTTCCCATGTTGTTGTCAATGAGGTATTAAACATGAATGTTGAGTGATTCTACATATGTATTTTAGTGTTGCACACTTGACTTGTCAGTCCTGCTTTTGCAATGTAACTCAGTTTATTGAACTTGAAGCTGATATAAGTGCCCCCCCCCCCAAAAAAAAAATAATAATAAAATAAAATAAAACAAAACCCCCAACCAAAAAAAGAAAAAAGAAAAGAAGACAACCCAAAAAAAGAAAATCTGATATCTGCCACCGCAAATGAGTAAATTATGCAGTTAAGTTTTTATCTTTGTGCTTAAGATCGTGTACATTTACATTACCATATACAATATACTGACCTGCACTAGCAATTTGAATTCACCTACAGTCAACTGTTTGGGGGTTTACTTGGAATTTCCAACACTTAAGACCACTGACAAGTTTATCATACTCTTGGTTGTTAATTTTCATATTATCCATAATCTTACATTATCCATGGATTCTTTTGGTCATCTTCTTGTACAGTATAGTTGTGGTATGGTGCCTAAGTTACTCTGTGATACAGAAATTATCTTGGAAACATCTGGGGTAGTTTGCTAATGGAGATCACTAACATATGTAAGGTGTTCTTCCAGATACTATGGAGGGTGGGCAGCACCTAATATTTACTTCTTGGGGTTTGCTGGAGTGGTCAAGTTTGGCAACATTCGTATTGGTGGACTATCTGGAATTTACAACGCCCGCCATTATCATTTAGGTTGGTTATATGTTGTGCACTCACTAAGAGTTGATAATGTTCTCTTTAAGGCGTTCATGTGAGTGAACTTTATCTGGGATTATGTGTTAGTCGTATTATCCATATGCTAANTGCCCGCCATTATCATTTAGGTTGGTTATATGTTGTGCACTCACTAAGAGTTGATAATGTTCTCTTTAAGGCATTCATGTGAGTGAACTTTATCTGGGATTATGTGTTAGTCGTATTATCCATATGCTAATGGGTTCTGCATCACATTGATTTGTTTGCATGAGATCCTTTTTGTGGAACCTTTCTGAGTTCTGACAGTGGCACAATATGTGGACTATTGAGTTAATTAGGTTATTGTTGTTTTTATGTGAAAGCTCCCTAGGCGTTGGACAAAATAATCAGTGTTTGTTTTTACATGAGCAGGACATTATGAAAGGCTGCCCTATAACGAGAGTGACATCCGTTCTATATATCATGTTCGTGAGTATGATGTTCACAAGCTCATGCAAGTTGAGGAACCAATAGATATTTTCCTTTCGCATGATTGGCCTTGTGGCATCACAGAGCATGGAAATTGGAAAGACCTTGTTCGTCTAAAACCTTATTTTGAGAAGGAGGTAATTACTGCATTTTAATCCTCTGTGTTTCTTTTATAGACAAAAAAACATGAAGAATGAGGCCCAAGTTAGTAGTAAATTTGAAACCACATACATGCGAGTTATGACTGTGAAGCTAGTGACCAAGGGAATTTAAATGGAAAAATAGAGGACAGAGACTTAAACATTATGCATAAACTGTTTTTCTACCTGACTGAATTAAGCAGATTAATTGAATTTTCCACAAATATCTGTAGCTCAAGGAAATAGTTGAATATGTATCACTTGGATTGCTTACATGCACAGGAAACCAATTGATATTACTAATATTATTTTTACGGGGGATATGATCTGCCTCCAAAGAGGGTGAGAGTACATCATTGCACCTCCAAAAATGCCTTTCCCTAGCTAAGATGAGTGGAAATTTTTTAGCATAATCAGCTGACAATATATCTGCATATTTAGGTCTATATAGACCTGTTGTTACTCAATAAGTGGTGGTTGGAGACTAATCAAAATTGACCATTGTCAGCTTGTGGTTTGGTCCACTTATCATTACTACTACACTGATGTGAACATTATGTATGTGCAGGTATAATGTTCTTTACATTTGCTTTCCTTGTAATTAAGAATGCGCTTACTTACATTATATTACCTCGAATGTTTTCTTGAAGCTCAAACAGTAGGCTCGGGGATGGGATGTATAACATTGTATAATGATCCCTATGACAGAATTGGTTGTCTAACTATTTACTTTGTAATTGGAGATCATAGAAATGGCCCCTGACGTGTTGTAAAAAAATTGCTCCTTTCTTTTTCTTCTGTTATATTAATTGGTCTATATGTTTTGGCTGTTCCAACCTACAATTTTGGTTGCACCACAGAGAAAAGTGATCATGTGAAAAATGTTATTTAGGTTCGGGAAAGAACTCTGGGAAGTAAAGCTGCTGCAGAATTACTTGAAAGATTGAAGCCTCCTTACTGGTTTTCAGCACACCTACACTGTAAATTTGCTGCTCTAGTCCAACATGGGGACAATGGCCCAGTGACAAAATTTCTTGCACTTGATAAATGCCTCCCAAGACGAAATTTTTTGCAGGTATTTACTCGGTTTAGTTGCTTGTTTCCTAAAGAACCTTTTTATAATCATTGCTTCAAGCCAATGCCTTAATTTCTGGAATTACTGGGTTTTTTAGATTATTCAAGTTGAGTCGGAGCCAGGACCGCATGGGATTCAGTATGATGAAGAATGGCTGGCAATCACACAGAAGTTTAACTCTATATTTCCTATTACTGTCAAACGCGCAAATTTTGAGTGTGTATATCTGAGGGATATGCTTTATCTGACATTTTTTCAGGAAAATTAACTAACACTTTTTGTTGTTTGGATGAAGGGGTGTACAACTCGACATGCAAAAATGTCGTGCATGGGTCAGGAGTAAGCTGCAAACTAGAGGAGCCAAACCTTTTGAATTTACGCCGACGGTTCCTTGTCATGGTTCTTCTCAAACTATGGCCAGTGGTTCCTTTTCTGGTAATGGCATCGAGATACCTTATTTCATATTTGTCACTACTTCCCTCCATGTAATGAGATTCCATAGAATATGCCATAAACCAAGGATTCATACGTTGGCGTGAAACGAATTGAGTTTATGTTTGTGCAAATTATGTGCATGTGCTCCTCAAGTATCTACAAGAAGAAATTTTGTTGGACTTCACAGTTGCATGAAATATCACGTCTATAAAAATTAGTATAAAACATGACTCAATATGATGCAAAAGTCATAAGTCCCCCACCATAGATCACTCGTATAACCAATTTCTGACTTTTGAGATTTGTTCTTTATTTTGTTTGAAAACTTGAATCAAGTTGCGTTGATGGTTAGAAATGTGGATGCTGTGCAAAAATATACTTTGATGATTTTTTTTTTTCCCCTCTCTTTTCTTGCAGAACATTTTCGGAACCCTCAAACAGAGGCTTTCTTGCAGTTTCTGGAACTTCAGTATTTTCTCGATAATGCATTGGAACCAAGGGAGCTATTCAATAGTCCAGCTTCATTCATTTCTACAGGTAAAGTTCTATCATTCTCTGCCATGATAGCCATAGTAGGCCGCCGCCTTTGATTATTCTATGACCATATTCCTGGTGTGTTGTGCAATCTATGCCTATGACCACAGTGTTTTTGAAGGTCTAAGCAAGTCTAGAGAACTAAAGATATTTTAGTTGTCTTTGGGATTGAGACATTTAGTGTTTGAGGGGAGGGAGTGGCCCAATGGTGAGGGCTCACTCTTGCTTGCTGGTGGTTGCGAGTTTTAACCGCTCCTCATCCTCCTTCCCCCCCAACAAAAAAAAAAAGAGATAGTGTGAAATCCCTGTTAAAGTTCATGAGAATATTGGAGCTCCTTGGTAAAAGTTGGCATGGTTATAACCCACATATGGAGGATGAATCCAACTGAAACCTTGTAACGTCCTTCTGGCGAACCACCTCACTTGACATGTCTGAGAGTTTTTCTTTTCAATTTTTGGTATTATACCATGGCCTAAATCCTTCAAGACTTTAAATGTGAATCTGATATACATACACTTTGTCATACTAAAAATTGAGGATTGATCGTATAACATTTAAAAATCGAGGATTTATCGTATAACATTTATATTTTAAATGGTAATTTATTTTTATTTTAATTTTTTTTCCTTTAATTACACAATTTAAAATTAAAGTGAATAAAATTAAAATAAAAATGAAGTAGGAAGAGAGAAAAGCAAGGTAGATGTGGATTGTGGTCAGATGAGTCAAAATATGATACAATTCGTTAATACGACATAAAATTAGAGGGTTTGAATTTTTTTTAAATTACCAGTTTTGTAAATGAGTGAACCTGACACGACATAATTAATAAATGAATTGAGTGTGAGTAAAGTCAAAAAAAAAAATACACGACGCAACTTGTTTATATATTGATTATACATGACTCATACATGAAACGAACCAGATATGATATGACTCGTTAGACACGAATTAATAAATGAATCATATATAGGTGAAGTGTTTTTTGACACGAACTCGTTAAAACCCGACAACAAACCTGCCTCACTTGACACGATTGATAGATTTAATTGTGGGGTTGTCTGACATTAGAAAGTGTGTTGGTTCAGTTATCTACATTGGGAGTCTTGCAGAGTATATGATGTTTTTATTGGAGAAAAAATTTTGAAATAAATTTTGTACCATTGGATTAAAGTAGATAAAAATTGGATAATCTTAACCGTCGTTATGTTTTTTTTAATATATATAGTGTCCCGGTGCAAAGTACGCTTTTTTTTTTTAATGTATAGGTTGTGTTACTACGATTAAAAGGTTAAAATTTAAATGAGTTAACTGTATTTANAGTGTCCTGGTGCAAAGTACGCTTTTTTTTTTAATATATAGGTTGTGTTACTACGATTAAAAGGTTAAAATTTAAATGAGTTAACTGTATTTAAAACGTTAAAATATCAAATCGTAAAATAAACCGTCAGATCTAAACAATCAGGGTTATCGTTATACTTTTCTAAGTGAGGAGTTTAAGCGCGTTCTATTTTATTATTATAGATATAATGTGTATAGGGTTCAGTATGTCCAAGAGCGTTAAATGGTAGGCAGCTGGGCCCAGCCTAGTGCAGGCCCAAACTTGAACTTTGAGGTCAGCCCATTTTATTGATTTTGACTGGGCCTCTATTTTGGCTGGCAGACGGGGGCTTTGTATCGTGGATTATTGGAGAGAGACCATGCGTGGTCTGTGGTTTTTGTTAGATACTTTTCTGGTGCTTGAGATTTAAAAATTTGCCCTTTTTTTTTTTTTTTGTGGGTAAATAATTTGCAGGATGTTAACTTCGTTAAAACATTTTTTTTGTAGACGATACACTTCTGTGCGTCATTATTTGAAGATTTTCATATGCTATGCTGAAGTTCGTATCTTGTAAACAATGTTAATTAGCATTATAATAGCATGCACTCTCCCACTCCACGCAGGGTTTGTCCCTCGATTATTTACTAGTTTTGGGTGCAAGTGTAGGTTCCTTTGACAATGATAGTGAAGACATTCCCCTTGATGATGTTGATGAAATAGAAGAACTTGCAGAAGCTGGTGATGCATAAACCGAAAAGGAATATCTGTAAGCTTGTATCATCCAGGTTCGGGCAGACATCTATCTATGCTTCCCCCTCCCCCACCCACCC